TTATTTCTGCCCTGATCTTTATTATTTCTCTTCTGCTGGCTTTGGGGTTTCTTTCCTGCTCTGCTTCTAGTTCTTTTAGATGTGATGTTAGGTTTTATATGTGACATTTTTCTTGTTTCTTGAGATAGTCCTGGAATGCAAGGTGTTTTCCTCGTAGGACTATCTTTGCTGCATCCCAAAGGGTTTGGACTGTCATGTTTTCATTTTCATTTTCTTCCATATATTTTTAAATTTCTTTTTAAATTGCCTGGTTGACCCATTCATTCTTTAGTAGGATGTTCTTTAACCTCCATGTATTTGGAAGGTTTCCAAATTTTTTTGTGGTTGATTTCAAGTTTCATAGCATTGTGATCTGAAAATATGCATGGTATGATCTCAATCATTTTATATTTATTGAGGGCTGTTTTGTGACCCAGTAGATGACCTATTTTGGAGAATGTACCATGTGCACTCAAGAAGAATGTATATTTTGCTGTTTTTGGATGAAAAGTTCTCAATATATCTGCCAAGTCTAGTTAGTCCAGTGTATCATTCAGGGCCATTGTTTGCTTATTGATTTTCTGCCTAGATGATCTGTCCATTGCTGTAAGTTGAGTATTAATGTCACCTACAATTACTGAATTATTATCAATAAGATTGCTTACATTTGTGATTAACTGATTTATAAATTTAGGTCCTTTCAAGTTGGGGACATAAATATTTACAGTTGTTAGCTCTACTTGATGGATAGACTGCTTAATTACAGTAGAATGTCCTTCTTCATCTCTTGTTACAGTCTTTAGTTTAAAATCTAGTTTGTCTGATACAAGTATGGCTACTAAAGCTTTCTTTTGACTTCCAGGAGCATGATAGATGGTTTTCCATCCCCTCACTTTCAATCTGAAGGTGCCTCTGGTCTAAAATGAGTCTCTTGTAGACAGCATACAGATGGATATCGGTTTTGTTGTTGTTGTTGTTTGTTTGTTTGTTTTTATTCATTCTGATATCCTATGTCTTTTGATTGGGACATTTAGTCCACTTACATTCAGACTGATTATTGAAAAATACGGATTTAGTGTCATTGTGTTATTTGTAGGTTTCATGTTTGTGGTGATACCTCTGGTCCTTTATAGTCTTTGTAGCATTCCACTCACAGAGTCTCCCTTAGGATCTCCTGCAAAGCTGGTTTAGTGGTGATGAAATCCTTCAGCTTTTGTTGGTCTGGGAAATCCTTTATGTTTATTCTGAAAGACAGCTTTGCTGGATAAAGGAGTCTTGGCTGCATATTTTATATTTCAGCACATTGACTATTTCCTGCCACTCCCTTCTGGCCTGTCAAGTTTTAATGGACAGATCTGCTGTTGCCTTTATGTGTCTATCCTTGTAGGTCAAGACCCATTTGTGTCTAGCTACTTAAAGAATTCTTTCTTTATCTTTGTATTTTGCCAGTTTCACTATAATGTGCCTCGGTGAAGACCTATTCTTGTTGATTCTGAAGGGAGTTTTCAGTGACTCCTGGAATTGGATGTCTGCTTCTTTTCCCAGATTAGGGGAGTTCTCAGCTATAATTTCTTCAAATAAACCTTCTGCCCCTTTCTCTCTCTCTTTTTCTTATGGAACTCCTATGATATGGATAGATATTACATTTCATTGAATCACTTAGGTCTCTAATTCTCCCCTCGTGGTCTACTATTTTCTTATGTCTTTTTTCTTGGCTTCATCATTTTCCATAATTTATCTTCTATTTCACTTATTCTCTCCTCTCCTATTCTTCTTGTCACCACATCTAGTTTATTTTGCACCTCATTTACAGCATTCTTAATTTGTTGTGACTGTTAGTTCCTTGATCTCTACAGCAATAGATTCTCTGCTGCCTTCTGTGCTTTTTTCAATCCAAGCTATTAATCTTATGACTATTATTCTAAATTCTTGCTCAGATATATTGTTTATATCTGTTTTAAGCAATTCTCTGTCATTTCTTCCTGGAATTTCTTCTTTGAATTCTGTCTCATCATTTTGGCTAATTTTCTGTCTTTTACATATTTTAATAGGTTGTTATGTGTCCTACACCTGTGAGTACTACTATATTAAAAAAGGGTCATACACTGTCCTGGGCCTGGCCCTTCAGGAAGTGTTTTTGGAATGTGTTGTGTGCTCTCTGTTGTTGTGACTCTGGTTGCTTTATCTTCCTGTTTGTAGTGGTGGTTCAGACCTTCCACCAGGTGTGCTTTGATTTGTTCATTGAAATAACCCTGGAAAAAATTTAAGGGGGTGGTGGTGGAAGAAGCCTTATCTCATACAAAGAGAGAAATAACAAGGGTAGAGAAAAATGATCAGATGGAGATTCTGAGAAACTATATGGCTTAATCCAGAGAGAGAGAGAGAGAGGAAAATAAAATAGGAGGAGATACAGAAGAGGTATCAAAAGAATAGATTAAAAATGCCATTGTCTGATGGTGCCTTGGAACCAGTGGCTGTGCTGGTCTGGAGGAGGGGCCCTCTGGTTCAGTCAGTGTCAGTCTCGCTCTGGTAGATACGAAGTTGCCAGGCACAGAGGGGTGGGATTTGGTGTACGCGGGTCCTGCCTCTATTGCGGGGGGGAGCTGTCTTGTTCCCTGAAGCCCCACCGTGTTGGTGATGGGGAGAAAACTGGTAATGCCCCAGTCTCCCCTCCCTGGCTGAGTGTCCCAAACCACTGTTCAGGCAGTCCTCACAGCATCGTACAGGTGCGAACAGCTGGTTTGTCCTACTCCACAGTCTCGAGCGTCTCTGAGGCACTTGGCTGGGATTCAAACCCTGATGTCTTAAAGGATCTTGCTCCACGTGCCCTATGGTGCCACTCTGCCCACTTGACACAAGGGCTCTGGCTGGTGCCTGTAGAGTCTTTTGTCCTTGAAGTGGCACCTTCAAGTCCCCACAGCACTTGAGGAAGGGGACTGCTCTCCCAATGCACCTCTGAGTTCACTACTTAGCCAGGGATGGCTACCCTCCCTGCCAGGGGCCAGGGGTAAGCACTGCACCAGCAGCCGGCTCTTCCACCAATTCTTTACCACAACTCAAAGAACGTTTAGTAGCTCAATATTTCACTCAAAAGTGAATTCCTGAATTAGAAATTGGAGGCTCTTTGCAATGGTCCTCACTTAGCTTTCCAGATTAATCTTTCCTTTTATCATTGTATATGTCATTCCTTTGCCATCCTGGAAAATGAGTTTACTCAACTGCTATACCTTATGGTTTCCCTTGTTTCGATCTTTATTCATCCCATCCTTTACCTAGAACGTTCTATCCAAATCCAGTTCATTTTCAAACTAGGTCAAATGGAATCTATAAGCTTTTCTTTGTAATCCCAATATAGGTTTTCACCCCTTACTCAGCACTCCCAAAGCATTTGGTTGTATAATCTAATTTATTCTATTTTAAAAAATCTATCTATCTGTCTACCTATTTGGTCTACATATGTTTGAGCATATTTTGTATTTTCTCTGCTAGAAGTAAAACGGCTGATGGCTGTTACTTTATTTTTGTGTTTGCTATACCATCCTCCCACTACCACATTTTGCCAAGCACAACTCCATTTACTCAGTTGTTACATATTTATCAAGTGACTATGTATATAGGTGCTGTTGCAGGCACCAGTAGTGGACAAGACAGATATAATTCCTAACCTCACAAAGCTAATTTTCTAGTGAAGGGGAGGAAGACCATAAACAAACAAGAAAATAAACAATAACTGAGAGGGAGGGAAACCATAAGAGACTCTTAAATACAGAGAACAAACTGAGGGTTGATGGGGGTGGGGTAAATGAGTGATGGGCATTAAGGAGGGAACCTGTTGGTACGAGTGAGCACTGGGCTTTATATGTAAGTGATGAATCGCTGGGTTCTAATCCTGAAACCAATATCATACTTTATGTTAACTAACTTGAGAATAAAACCCATGAATCCTCTTTTAGAGACTAACACTTACCTGAATATCAAGGAGCTAGACATACAAAGGTTAAGAGGTAGAACATTTCACACAGAAGGAATGACAGGAATAAAATTTAACAGATGGCAGTGTGGCTGTGCACAGTGGGTGGAGAAGGAATGATAGACGGAAAGAAGTGGGCAGAGGCTAGGGGAGGCAGGGTCTTGTAATTGGTGGGTGGAGGTGGGGAGAAAGAAGAAGGAAGAGGTAAAGAAAGAAGAGAGGGAAGAACAGAAGTAGGGATGGAAGATAGGAAATAGTAAAATTGTGAAATCATTATCTTTTAGTTGTATTACTAGGATAATTTTATAAGATAACAGAATCAGCTTTTTTAATAGAAAAAGACTTAGCAGTCAGACAAAGACAAATACCACATGATTTCACTCATATGTAGAACTGAAGAAACAAAACAAAGAAAAAAAAGAGACAAACTGAAAAACAGTCTCTTAAATACAGAGAACAAATCAGTGCTGAGAGAGAAGAGGTGGGGGGGAGATGGATGAAATAGGTAAAGGGGATCAGGAGTACACTTACCATGATGAACACTGAGTAATGTATACAGTTGTTGAATCATTATATTGTACACCTACAACTAATATAACACTGTGTGTTAATTACCCTTAAATTTAAAAAATATATACATTTTAATGTTTTATTTATTTCTGAGAGAAAGACAGCATGAGCAGGGTATGGTCAGAAAGGGAGGGAGACACAGAATTCAAAACAGCCTCCAGACCCTGAGCTAGCTGTCAGCATAGAGTCTCTTGCGGGGCTTAAACTCACAAACCATGAGATCATGGCCTGAGCCAAAGTTGGACGCCCAACCAACTGAGCCACCCAGGTGCCCCTAAAAATATATTTAAAAAACTAAAAAGTGAAAAGAGAAAGGCTTGGGAAGAATTTAAAGGAAACAGTAAATAAAATGAAATTCTAAAGTCTTTTAAAATATTATGGTTGGATTAATAATTCCATGCCTACATCTTAAAATGTTTATCACTTTTACTGCTTTTCTAACATTTTATTTCACTTTCAAATATCTTTTTCCCCTGCTTACCCTACGACCCAGTAAGCCATAACTGGTGGTGCTTTTCTCTGATCCGTCCACTTTTCTGGTGAGCATTCAAACAACACACCATGTTCTTTCACAGGGTTAAGAGAAGATACTGAATTTGCAGAAGCTGAATGGTCTCCACCATTTAGTGCTTTCTTTTTCTGTAAATTAAATAGGCATTAATAGTATTCACTGGTATTAATAATGTTACTTTAAAATGTTCTCATATAGAGATTTGAATTGCCTGAACCTAATACTTAAGTGTCTGGAATGACACTCTTCTCATCAGTGGGAAAATTTCTATTCTTCCTCATACTGAGTATAAGTATCATCTCCTAAAAAAGACTTTATAGATAATGTGTCGTTGAAATCTTCCATAAAACATTTTGCTCACAGCCCTATTAGTATTTATATTAATTATGTTAGCAGTTTATAGGTCTGTCTTCTCTAGTAGATTATATACTTTTTCCTAGGGCAAAGACAATATGATATTCATATTTGAATGTTTTGAAGCAGCAGGGCCAGGTACATAGTAGGTGCTTAATAAATAGATTAATAAATAGGTTACTAAATTAATAGATGATTTTGTAATATACTTAATTTTTTAATGTTTTTTATTTATTACTGATAGAGAGAGAGAAAGTGTGAGCAGGGGAGGGTCAGAGAGAGAGGGAGACACAGAACTTGAAATAGGCTCCAGGCTCTGAGATGGCTGTCAGCACAGAGCCCGACGCAGGAGTAGAACCCAAAAACCGTGAGATCATGACCTGAGCCAAAGAAGGACATTTAAGTGACTAAGCCATTCAGGTGCCCCTTGTAATATACTTACAAGAGTACTGTCTCTTCTTTTCTTAAAGTTTATTTATTTATTTTTTAGAGAGAGAGCAAGAGTGCATGCATGAGCCGAGTAAGGGTGGAGAGAGAGGGAGAGAGAATCCCAAGCAGGGTCAAGGCTGTCAAGAAGTGGCTGTTTAACCGATAGAGGTACCCAGGCACTCCTTGTCTCTTCTTTCATGCATACTCTACATGTCCCACTGATTAAATCAATAGTGAAACAATGACTCATTTGGGGAGAAAAAAAGATTTTTTGTAAGGCTCGGGCTAAAACAGTTGAGTGGTCCTTGCTTCTTCTCTTTCTCTCAAAATCCTTATCTAATCTGTCAACAGATCCTTTTGGCTCACCCTCCAAAATATATCTAGAATCCAGAAGCCACTATCATTTCTTGCTTTGAGAATTTCTATACCCTCCTAATGGAAATTCCTGGTCCCTGCCTCTACCCTCTAGCCCACAGAGCTTGTTCTTGGCACAGTAGTAGCTTGAATGATCCTTTCAAAAATTTAGGATGATGTCCTTTCTCTGCTCAGAACAGAGTTTTTCATCTTCAGAACAAACCCCAAAGCCCTTAAATATATCAGGCCATGTGCGATCTGACCCTGCTAACCTTTGCCATCTCGACTCCTACCACCCTCCTCCCCAAGGGCTCCAGCATTCTCAGCCACTCCTAGTTCTGTGGCTTTGCACTTGCACTTGAACCTGTTTCCTCTGTCTGGAATCCCTAACTTCAGATTGCCACATAACGTGCTTCCTCACTTTATTCAGGTCTTTGCTCAAATATTACCCTATCTTATTATTCCTCTTAAAAACTTATTCTACCTGACATATACTACTTGCCAATTAGTCTTCCCCATTAGATACAGGCTGTGGTAGAGTAGGCAGTTAGTTAGACATGAGCAGGAGGCAAAGGCGGTGATAAATGGGTAACACATTAGAAGCCTTAGTGCAAAACATCCTGACTTGGTGGTTTTTAATATCCAGGCCTTAAATTAAGGGATCCAACACCCAGAGGCTGATAGACCAAGAGCCACAGGTGCAGAACGTGTGCTCTCCTCTTCCACCTCCCTCTGCCCCAGGGTAACCTACAGCTTCATTATAATATATTTACATTGTGGTTTTAACTCCCACACCCCCCAACAGGGAGGAAGATGGCCATGACAGTTGTGGCAAGAACCCTTTAGGGTCCCAAACTGCCCCTCCCAACCAGTACAAGTTCCTTAGATTCTCCTAGCTATGACCCATAACCTATGCAAACATAAAAAGAAAAGACACCCCTAGCCTCAGTGCAGCTGACACCCCTGGGCCTGACTACTCTCCCACCATTACAATGTACTGTTCTTAATAAACTGTTTTATGCTTTCCTCTTTGCTGTCTTTATTTAAGCACAGATCCTCATATAAATCCTCTCATGAAGAATCATGAGAAACCCTGACCTCCATTCACACCAGGTAGACTCTTCCACTGATAATAGCTTCATGAAGAAAGGGACTTTGTTCACTGCTGTATCCCCAGCACCAGAATAGTGTCTAGTACACAGTAGATACCTCAATAGTTCAGTAATAAGGAAAAGGCTAATTTACATTACTAAGTATTACTGATTAAGTTAATGAGACATTCCCTTATAGAATCGAACAGATATGTTAAAAGGAAAGGGGGAGCATAAGACCACAAAGCACAGAGAGATATAGGGTCAGACATAACATTTCAGTGAATACTAATTTCTGATAGTTCAAAGAAATCCTGTAAGACACAAAATTTATTGCTAAATAAGTTCTAAGACATAATTCAGTCCATTTACTTTATAGTAAGGAAATAGGAAGAGTTGAGCTCAGTCCAGGATTCCTTATTCTCAACCCAATGTTCTTCCACCTTTAAAGCCAAGTTCTTCACAAATTTAGCATTCTTAAAACAAATATGGCTATATCCATTACTATCATCTTCAGAGAGAGTTTTGTGGTTTTTTACTTTTTATTTTTTGGCTGTATGATGTTTGACCACTGACAAGTGAACTTCTGTATGTTTATCTTTTTCAAGAAATCAATACTTACTTTTCCCTCCCATTAAGATAATCTAATTGATTTTTAAATTATATACAACATTACTGCTCCAGAGGTATAATATTAAATGAAGCTTCATCCTGGATTAAAAAGCAAGGAAGAGGGAGGAGGGGCAAGATGACAGAGAAGTAAGGAGCTCCGTGCATTTCACTTGCACCCATCTCTCAAACAGAGAAGGCCTGAAGTCATAGGACACTGAGCCACAGGAGTCTGGGAAGACAAAGAGATAGAATACACTGGGAAGGAAACCTCATAACTGCGGCTACCTCAAGCAACAAGTCAAAGTACACATGGTGGAGAGTCCCAAATACCACTACGAGTAGGGAAACAAAATAACCAAAGTCTCAACAAGAGAAACCAAGAGACACATTCAAAGAACACCTCCTGAATAGACAGGCCCTGGACAGTCAAAGAGCCCTCTTTAATATAGCAGCACCCTCAGGGGCAGAGTGCATAACAAGCTTTTAAAATTAACAAGAGATAGAAAGCTAATCAAAATGACGAAACAGAAAAACCCTCCTCCAAAGAAATTCCAGGAAGAAATGATAGCCAAAGAACTGCTCAAAACAGATATAAGCAACACCACTGAACAAGAATTTAGAACAATAGTCAAAATTAATTGCTGGGCTTGAAAAAAGCATGGAAGACATCAAAGAAACTATTGTTACAAAGACTATGGAGCTTAAAAATAGTTGTGATGATTTAAAAAATGCTATAAATGAGATACATAATAAAATGGAGGCGTCCAATGCATGGACTAAAGAGGCAGAAATGAGAATAAGTGATTTAGAAGACACAATTACAGAAAAAGAGGAAGGTGAGAAAAAGAGATAAACTAATCCAGGAACATGAAAGGAGAGTTCAAGAGCTCAGCGATACAATAAAATGAAACAATATCCGTATCATAGAAATTCTTGAGGAGAAAGAGAGAGGGAAAGGTGCTGAAGGAGTCCTGGAACAAATTATAGCAGAGAATATCTACAACCTGGGGAAGGAAGTAGACAGTGAAATTCAAGAGGCAAAGAGAACTCCGCTCAGATGTAACCTGAATCGATCTGTGCACGACATATCATGGTAAAACTTGCAAAATATAAGGACAAAGAGAGAATCCTGAAAGCAGCTAGGGAGAAAAGGGCCCTAACATACAAAGGGAAACCTATCAGAGTGGTGACAGACCTATCTACTTAAACTTGGCAGGCCAGAAAGGCAGGGCAGGAAATCTTCAATGTGATGAACAGAAAAAATATGCAGCCAGGATCCTCTATCCAGTAAGCCTGGCATTCAGAATAAAAGGACAGATAAAAGTCTTTCCAAATAAACAAAAATTGAAAGAATTCGTCACCACTAAACCAGCCCTACAAGAAATCCTGAGAGAGACTCTCTGAGGGAAATGATGCAAGGAATCCAAGATACCAGAGACACCACCACAAGCATGAATCTCACAAAGGATAGAATGACTCTAAACCCATATATTTCAACAATAACACTGAATGTAAATGGGCTGAATGCTCCAATCAAAAGACATAGGGTAGCAGAATGGGTAAAAAAACAAAATCCATCTATTTGCTGTCTACAAGAAACTCATTTTAGACTGGAGGACTCCTTCAGATTGAAAGTAAGGGGATGGAGAAATATCTATCGTGCTACTGGAAGTCAAAAGAAACTTAGAGTAGCTATATTTATATCAGACAAACTGGACTTAAAGTAGACATAACATGGGATGAAGAAGGGCATTATATAATAATTACAGGGTCTATCCATCAGGAAGAACTAACAATCATAAATGTCTACCACCGAATATGGGACCACCTAAATATATAAAACAATTAATCACAAACAGAAACAAGCTTATAGATAAGAATGTGCTAATAGCAGGGGACTTTAATACTCCACTTAGCACAATGGATATGTCAACTAGACAAAATCTCTAAAGAAACAATGGACGTGAATGACACATTGGACAAGATGGATTTGACAGATATATTTAGAACTCTACATCCTGAGACTATAGAATTCACTTTCTTCTCAAGAGTCCATGGGACATTCTCCAAGATAGATCACATACTGGGACATAAAGCAGCCCGCAATAAATATAAAAGAATAGAGATCATACAATGCACACTTTCCGATCACAATGCTATGAAACTTGAAATCAATCAAAGGGAGAAGTCTGGAAAACCTCCAAAAACATGGAGGTTTAAGAACACCGTACTAAAGAACGAATGGGCCAATCAGGCAATTAGAGAAGAAATTTAAAAATATATG